ATAGAATGAAAATACTGGCGACTTAACAATCAGTATTATATTACTTCTGCAAGGGAACAAGCTCAGGTGAGAGTGTTTTGAATGTCCAAACTATCATTCTTTAAATTTGACAGGTTTAGTCTAGACTCCATAAAGGTCACCATGTTGTTGTTGTTTGGAATTTCCTCCGATACTACCAGGGTCAGGTCCAGTAAACTCTGCCGATTGAGCTATATAGCTATAAAGACCTATAAATTATAGCTGTATTGAGCTATATTTTCTCAGATTTCAAATTTCATTAAATTAAAGCAAAGTCGCATAAAACAATAAGGTTAATGGTAATGTTGACATACAGTTAGATGTTTATTTTCATTTTTCATAAATGTAAAATTTCTGATTTCTTTACATCATTTTTTTTAAAAAGAATACTTATATTTAATGTCTTTTGTTATCAACCTAATGATACAATCTTCTTTAAAATGGGACTTTGTTCCGTTTTCCTTAAAAAAGAAAATCACTTGAAAATAGCTCAAAAGACCTATTTCAGATAGGTCAATAGAGCTATTATAGGTCTTTACAGCTATAAAGCTCAATCGGCAGAGTGTACTGGACCTGCCTACATAGGTGATATGGCCTACCACATCTACGTAGTACTAGTCTCATGGGTAACAGTTACATTTAGGTGTGGCAGCTGGTAGTCCTTTAGGTTCTTTTTCTTTAGGTTATATTATCAGTAGTCCTTCAATGATCTGAAGATTATTTACTGTTTTGCACAGCGTGGCCTATATATATATTTACAAGAATACCAAAAATTATGAATTTGGAATGCATACATTTTAAATTGTGATTAAAACTATGTTTGTAGGCTTATATTTACATTTGCCCCCGTGCCGTCCCATTACAACAGTGTTAGAGGGCAAGTGTAATTATATAGGCTATAATTACAACTGCTCGACTATAATTACAACTGCCTGTTTCAGGTGTTATTAATGTACGTATTGTATCCCATGTTTTTAAAGGCTACCTTAGCCGTGTGATATGTAATAAACGTTAGTTAACTTTGAAACAAGGTGTTGATTGATTTATAACTCGGATACTCCTCCACATCTGATGGACCTGTGTCTGACTGTACAGACGGCCGCAAAGGGACATTCTTGGGGATGCCGCCGGCCAGCTTGTTGGTAGATTTGGGGAAAACATAAATAACTGTACGATCACTTTCATCTACCGACGTTGGACAGGCTCTCCCCACGGACGTCCTATTACAATATATAAATATAGTTAACTTTGAAACAACCCACTATTCCGTCTTTTCCTATTGCAGAGTTATCTTCTCTTGTGAGCAGGTTTTGATTGTTACGTCATTAGTTTGTGAGAGTAACGTCATCAAATTTTGAGAAAACAACGTAATTTTCTCACACAGACCAATGACATAACAATCAATACCTGCTCCCAAGAGAAGATAACTCTGCAATACGCAAAGACGGAATACATACATACAGGGCTTAATGCAGGAATAGAAAGCTAAAACAATTTTTTGAAATAAAGGAAATTTTGTGCTGTATGTTGCAGCAAACCGGAGCCAGGGGAAGCTTAAATATTTGTTTCTCACTGTTCATTATAGACGCTTTGAATCGACCACCTGATATGATAGAATAGAGTATTTGTGTGACTGTTATGATATTGTATATCGTAAACTGGGATAGCTGCAAACAGTGTCGTAAAAAAATAAGCAGTTACAATTAATATGAACACATGGACAGGGAAAATGAAATAAATCACTCAGTCGTGGAAATAACGGAAAGAAAAATACAAAATAGAACCAAGGCAGATATTTATGTGGTAATATTTAAGTTACAAGTGGCGGATTTTTTAACTTTAATAGCGGGGTGGGGGGCGGAATGCCAAATAAGAGAGGAAAATTGATCCATATAAGGCCATAAAAAGGCCTTTATATGACAGCAATAATCAAGGGAACCCCATCAAACAGAACTAATTATGACCCAACTCTTTTTCTCTGTTACAGAAACATGAAGTTCAAGACAGTAAGAGAAGGTCAACAGGCTGTGGTGTTCAATCACTTTGGTGAAGGTCGTTTGATTATTGGACCAGAAAGAGTAAGTTTGTGTCAAGGTTCAATTGTCTTGAAAACAAGTCATCTGGTTATGTAGGGAGAAGAATTGTTTTTATTTTAACTTTACAACATTTATGTGTGATAGATTTCTGTCTTGAAAACAGGTCATCTGGTTATGCAGGGAGAAGAATTGTTTTTATTTTAACTTTACAACATTTATGTGTAATAGATTTCTGTCTTGAAAACAGGTCATCTGGTTATGTAGGGAGAAGAATTGTTTTTATTTTAACTTAAAACAACATTTATGTGTGATAGATTTCTGTTTGTTCATTTTGTTTTTCAAATCTCGTCCAACTTGATTTTCATTCTTAAAATCAAATTTGAATTATTTAATTACTGTACATTTCTATTCCTTTTAATCAAATTATCAGCATTTTCATCGTCTACAATATTTAATCAATTGCATAACCCTTGTCTATAAGATCCTGAAGACAATGGAGAAGGGAGTCTGTAAAGTTTGGCAGATACTGTACATATGCATCATACAATTGGGAAGGGAGTTAAATCTTATGATATAACAACATTAGGATGGGTATCTCTACAGGGAAGGAAATCTCTAAATCTTGTCAATACTATTTTATCGGACTGAAGGGAAAGGAGACCCTTATTCTTACCTTATACATCACACTACAGGGAAGAGAGTCTCTAAATAATGTTTGATATATCATACTATAGGGTACACAAAGGTTTCATACTAAATCTAGAAGTCAATATCGGAATTAAGGGAATAAGGGAATATCTGTATATCTGAAAAGATTCCCCCCCCCCCCTCGCAGGTCCAGACCAATCGCTGGAGGCTACCTCCTTTGGACATTACATGGAAACTCATTTTCTTGGTGTCCTATCCACTAAAACTTATTAACATGTAGTTCTTCTTGCAACTTTGTTTCTTGTACTCCTTTGAGAAACATGTATGGTACTAAGCAGGTTTTAAATTGAAAAAAAATACCAATACCTGGTGAGCTATCAAGGCCCCTGGGCCTCTTGTCTTCTTGAACCTATTGCACAAATGCTTAATAATTCAACCTGCATGAATGCACATTAAGAGTACAAAAATTATTTGTTTCTGGCTAATATTAATTACATCTGAAACTCATTGAATAATATTTACATTTCCACTTAAGTTCATCATTGACATTTAACCATAAGAAATTACGTTCATAGGGCTATGAACGCAATTGGATCAGTATCATTTGGAAGCTTTTCCTACCGCCTCGAATAACATGAGAGAACCGCTAGAAGTAAACATTTTGCTGACATCATACTGTTCCAGGAATCTCGTTTGCACTCACTACATAAACACTTCAATATCAGAAAATAAGGGAAGATCTGTATTTAGGTCAATAATAAGTACAAACTTTAAATGTACATGTATGTAAAAATGGAATGGCANAGTAGAGGGTTGTCATATAATGACAATGCTAGGATCAGTAAGGTTTTCGTTATACAGAGGTTACACTGTAGTCGAAGGTTGTCATATATTTATCACAGCCTTCTCCCGTCATACATTCACAATTAAATGTCAACAATGATAAAAGGCATAAACATAAAGTAGATATATTTAAATATATATTGAATTTAGTACCGGAATGTGGCCGGTACAGATGGTACGGGGGTAAACGAACACCTTTCCTACACCAAGGGACAAACCTTTCTGATTTTTTTTTATATATTGCCGGGGCAGAGGAGGCCGGGTATTCATATTAGTACTAATTTAAATCTTGCATGTAAAAACAAAAATAATCGTTTAATTCAGCAATATAATTAAATCATACCATTTTATTGAACCCGGTGATATTATAAATTATGTAAATCCACGGACTTCGATAATACGCCGTGGGCCATCACAACAGTTTTCCCTTCGAGGGCCTCATGGAAAAATCAAACTAACCAGTCACTTACCCTTCCTTTCGCATAAACCGCTGTATAATTATTGAAACACAAAGTAAACTATCTCCAATACATGCCCATTAACATATTAAACCAAGTTCATCTGTGTTCAAACTCAGACAAAGATACTAGCGAGCTTAATATATAGTTTAAGATATTTACACATAACATAAACAGCGCTTGCATTTCTGTCGATTCCATTTCAGCTTAACCGGCTATCCGGAAGAATACATGCACCGTAGTAACTGCTACGGCAGTTATTTTCTCCTTTGAATACTGCCCACCTGCAATAATGATTCCGTAACGTACTCCTTGCGCTATCTTTTGACCATTTGGCAACTTTTCGTTTCGTAGCTGACACGGTACAACACTTTTCTTTCGCTTACTTCACACGGCCAGTCATTTTGTTTACAAAGAAATGGTGTGCTATGCGCATGCGCTAGTAGAGGGAAATCCCTGAACAAAACGTTGGTCAGACAGGTAGAAATACCGATGATTTTCTTAGATTTAATCATTTTTATGAATCTATTTCAGCCAAATCCGATCGTTATTTTCCATAAGGAGTCTCACTTGATATGTTTATGTAGTATTTGNTGATTTTCACGGTTGACTGCGGCGTACAAGTTTTACCCCCTTGAAAAACACATTATCGTCGATTTCTAAATTATTAGATAATAAATAAACATTTTTGTAATTGTCACATTTAGAAAATAATGTTTGAAATTATTCTATATTTTTATAAAAATTATAAACGATCGCGTTAATGAGATATTAAAATATCTTTATATTCCCGGTACGGGGTTTCAGTCCGGGTCCGGGAACGGGGTACAAGATTTACCTACCACCCAGCTCACAGTTCACAGTTTACTGTTACGAAATGAGAATGACTATTATTAAGGTTACATTCTTGTTTACATGTTGCTAAATTAGACTTCCGTGTCACAATAGAATGAAAATACTGGCGACTTAACAATCAGTAGACTATTATATATATATTACTTCTGCAAGGGAACAAGCTCAGGTGAGAGTGTTTTGAATGTCCAAACTATCATTCTTTATCTAAATTTGACAGGTTTAGTCTAGACGCCATAAAAGTCACCATGTAGTCAGGTAGTTGTTGTGTGGAATTTCCTCCGATATAGCTATAGGGCCTACCACACCTACGTAGTACTAATGGGTAACAGTTACATTTAGGTGTGGTAGGTAGTCCTTCGTGTTCTTCTTCTTTAGGTTATCAGTCAATGATCTGAAGATTATTTACTGTTTTGCGCATCGTGGCCTATATACATTTACAAGAATACCAAAAATTATGAAAATGAATTTGGAATGCATACATTTTAAATTGTGATTAAGACTATGTTCATAGGCTTATAAAAAATAAATGAATTTGTGGAGAACAGCTGGTGTGAGCTGTTCTCTGAAAGTGTCGACTGTTGTGACAATGACTGTATGGATTGGTAATAGATTCCATTGAGTTATGGTATAAGGAAAAATGAAAATGTATATGTATCTTGTTTGGTTGAAATGTGACTGAAAGTGAAATTATGATTTTTTCGGGTTCTACTGTCTGATGGTATGAGAATAGCAGATGGGATTGCTACAATTTGATGGACTATTTTGTAGAACATTATTAGTCTTGTGCGTAGTCTTCTTTCTTGTAGTGTTGGCCAGTTTAATGAATTTATCATATCTGTAGGACTACGGATGTTATGGTACCTGTTACAGACATATCTGGCAGCTCGTCGTTGGACCATCTTGATTTTAGAAGTTTGTTCAACTTTGTGAGGGTCCCATACTGTACATGAATATTCCAGTTTTGGTCGAACTAGCGGCAGATATGTCTGAGTCTTGATGTTCTGACATGATGTTTTTAAATTTCTTTTTAGGAAGCCTAAAGATGGAAGTGTCTGTCTAAATTTTAAGATTTCTTTTGTAGTGTGGTATTGTGAATTACAGACATTTCGCCCAAGATCTTTTCGTCCCAACTTTATTTCACATCGCCCCACTTTTCAGTTCACCGCCCTAAACATTCTTTTCGCTACACAATCCGTTTCGTCCCTAAACCAATAAGTGACACAAAATGCTTTATCGTCCCAATTGCAACCGCTACGAACCTATTTTGGACGATATTCTGTGAAAGTGGCAGTAATCATGGCACGTTTCACTAAAATATTAATGATTAGGAACACCTAACCTCAAGACTCAGTTGGCATTAATATTTGTTTTAATATTCATGTAATAGTTTTTAAAATATCATTGTTTTGATGGGTAATCAGTTTGTATGTTGATGAAAGAGATCGTAAATATAAGTCAATTTGTGAAAAATTAAAAATATGCCGAAGATGTGCCAATAGAGTTTCTGCCCTTCATATTGCATAATAAGCATTTTGGCTCTTGGTCCAAGTTGAAAAGCAAAAATACTGTTCTTACCCTAGAAACATTGTGAGATATCAGCATGAATGTCAGCTATTTCAATTTTTTCACGATGAAGAACGAAACTGATATTGAAAGTTGGTTTGAAATGTTAAATCATAGACGTATATATATAAATATTTACATTTGCGCTGCAACCCACTATTCCGTCTTTTCGTATTGCAGAGTTATCTTCTCTTGTGAGCAGGTATTGATTGTTTGTGAGAGTAACGTCATCAGTTTTTGAGAAAACAACGTAATTTTCTCACACAAACCAATGACGTAACAATCAATACCAGCTCACAAGAGAAGGTACATGTAACTCTGCAATACGAAAAGACGGAATATGAAAATTACTAGCAGAAATGCATTTCATTTGAGTATAAAAATAGAAACTCTTGTGACATGACGCATGGTTTAATTATGACATCATATATTAACCTTGTTCAATGAGAGTCTTGTCGCTTCGCTTCGGATAACATTGAGAATGCCCACGCGTCAAACGCTCAAATGGCTACGGTTAATTATTGATATAAATAGAGCTGTTCTGCCAGTGACGTTAAAAGGGCGACGCATATATATATACAAAATGTAATGATTCAATTTATTATTTTAGAACAACTAAATTAAATTAAACGATTGTCCTATAGTAAAAATGTATAGCAGGCTTCACTTAGTTGGGGACCGGGAAACTAGGGTATTGCAAGTTTGATCTCCAATGGAAACACACTACTATATTTCCTGTTGCAAATGATGTCCTTTGTCCCCCTGTGGTGAGTTCGATCCTTGGTTGTTGTAGTGTTCGAGGGCAAACACATTGAAAAATGGGGGAGTAGTATATGGTGTGGACGATTTTAATTGTACATAGGATTACGGTCACCTTCTAGCTTCACACTATGGGGAATTTCCCTTCAGTTCAATCATGATCAGTAGAGTGACAGACTGTGACGCTTTGGTTCTCTGGTTCCATTCCCTTTATATGGAAACACACTACTTTCTTTTCTATTATCTAATCCTAAGTTATCTTATATGCAAATACAGTTCTGTACAAAGTCATACTATACTATAATAGCGATAAAAATCTGTAGCAAATATGTACATTTGAAAACCTTATCCTTGTAGTTGAATTGCAAATGGGCGACTCATTCGGTTAGAGTGTCTTTCTAGATTTCGTAGTCAAGGTTTCAAAACCTGGCCTTAAACTGTACATTTTTCTGTCAATGGTGCCTGTGTCAAATACTTGATTCAAGTGCTTTGTGTACGCTTGGTACGGGTCTACCTGGACCTGGGCTATAAATGATGTGGTCTTTGGGCTTTTAGAAAAGGCTTTGAAAAAAAAGAAGGTTGGAGCATCCGTCTAGAGTTCAAAGGTACTGGGTTCGAATCAGTGAGCGTAAACCCTGGATATTGAGGATGAATTTACTGGTAAAGTCCAATTGTTCGCCCAGTGTTAATTTCACCCTCAACCCTTTAACCCATATATAACTTATAAATAAACTCTTCCATGCATTGATCTGGCAGAGTCCTTTTTGGTCTACAGTGGTGAAAGATAGGGTTAAAATGTAATAACTAAATATAGCATGCTGTTTACTTATATTCCCTGTATTATTATAATTATGATAAATTCACCCTCATTGCGAAGGATGAAAAAGGTGAAAATTAAACTACAGCAAACATTCCCCAGTATACATTAAAAGGAGTCCAGTGGAGTCCAGTTCCGTTTTCTATATATATATATATATATATATATATATATATATATATAGAAAAAAANTCAAAGAATATAGACGGTAAAATCCCACGGATCGCTCCGAAAATTTGACAACCTAAACTTGTCCACACTGTTGGAATTACTGTTTTGCCCCATATATATATATGTGTGTGTACTTGTAACATATGAGGAATGAAATAAAATGTTGATTAACCCAAGCGGAATTGAAAAGACAGGGCAGGGAAGTTTCTTGTAGTAAATATTAGAGGGAAGAGTGCAGTGATATACATGTGTATGCATACAGGGCTTAATGCGGGAACAGAAAGCTAGTACCATTTTTTGAAATAAAGGAAATTATGTGCTGTATGTTGCAGCAGACCGGAGCCAGGGGGAGCTTAAATATTTGTTTCTCATTGTTCATTATAGACGCTTTGAATCGACCACCTGATATGATAGAATAAAGTATTTGTGTGACTGTTATGATATTGTATATCGTAAACTGGGATAGCTGTAAACAGTGTCGTAAAAAAATAAGCAGTTACAATTAATATGAACACATGGACAGGGAAAATGAAATAAATCACTCAGTCGTGGAAATAACGGAAAGAAAAATACAAAATAGAACCAAG